TTTTTTCTCCTCAATTCTATGTGTTGAAGTAATGTTGATGCTGAGGTTGGCTAGAACATGGGTGGAGTGAGATTCTTTGTTACTGGGCTGAGTTGTGAGTATTGCTTGGGAAGCAGGATATCTACTCTGTGAACCTGAAGTGACCCACTCACTTTCCAACTGCCCTTAGAGGAAGTGCTGAGCAAGAAATAGCACTATTGTTACCAATAGATGTATAGCCTTAAGACAAATGTTCAGTATCTATTTTGACATCTGTAACACTAACTGCCACCTACAGAGGAATGGTGAGATCAACAATACAAACTGTGAGCAAGATCAGTCATTAGACAGCAGGGATCTAGTAAAATACCAGCTGTGTTAATAGTCATAACAACATGAATGAGGTACAAATTGCATAAAGTATATAATTTTATTTTTTAGTGAAATTACAGCTTCTTATGTGAAGATAAAATAGGTTAGAAAGAAGAAAGTTTGAAATGTTTTAAAAAGTGAAGCCTGGAGAGACAGTATATAGATCACAAATGTTTACTATAAAGAGGGAGAAATAAAGAATTAACCGTAAGTAGTCTACAAATTAAAAAAGAAGAAGAAGGAACAGGAAAATTTGAATATTATTGGGAGAAGAGAGTGAAGAAGGGGCAATAAAAAGGACAAAAACCAAGGTATAGAAAATAAGTAAATATAAAACCAAAACAATTCAAACCTATATATGAATACATCCCTCCTCTGTGAAACCAAAGCTAAATAATAAACAAGTACAGAAAAAAAGCAGTTAAAGTGAGATGAAAATTATGTGTATATATATTAAACCTACTCATACTATGAGAATACACATGCCCATAACACCCCCAAACACAATTCTCACACAATGGAAAAAAGTAAAAAATAATAAATTACAGTGAAATGATATTTGAAAAAAAATTTCATTTGTTTAATTAGTTACACATGACAGTAGAATGCCTTTTGACATGACAATAGTGCGTATTTTGACTTATTATACATACATGCATTCCAATTAGAATGTCATTCTTCAAGTTGTACATAATTGTGGAGTTACACTGGTTGCATATTCATTTATGAGCAAAGGAAAATTACGTCTGCTTCATCCTACCGCCTTTTCTAATCCCATCCACTCTCCCTGCACTTCATTCCCCTTTGTCTAATCCAGTGAACTTCTATTCCTCCCCTCCCTACTCTTCCTTGTTGTGGGTTAGTGTATTCATGTGAAAAAAATAAATACAAAAGTGAGGTTAAATCATGCTAAAGATAATTATGCATACCAAATGAAACAATGTACAAATAGAAAAGACCCTATAGAAGGAAAAATATAG